GTTGGGGATAGGTCTTAGGTAATTCATAGGTGTTAGTTAGTTGTAGTGCTGTATGTAGTGCATGGGAGAAATACAATGGTTAATCTCAGTCTAAGACTACCTCTATTCCTTGACGAACTGCTAACAATATTTTTGGGTCAACCTTTCCTAAACATTCAAACAATCTTTTTTTATCAATGCTTCTGACTTGATTAAGGAGAATTTTGCTCAATTTAGTTAAGCCATTAGATTTAGTCGGATTAATTGCTACTTCAAATAAACGGACTTTTTTAACTGTACTTGTAATAGGAGCCACCAATACATAATGTCCGTACTCATTTTGCACATTATTACTTAAAATTAAGCACGGATGAACTTCTTTTAATTCTTTTCCACGACTGGGACTAAAATTAGCCTTATAAATTTCACCCTTAACTGGGAAACCTTGTGGGAACAACTTACTCATCTTTTTTTAACCCATCATTACTGGCTTGATCTCAATCAGTTAGTTCTTTATTTAATTCTTTATCCTGTGCCGCATCTTGATAATCTGCCATTAATTGTTGGCGAAATTTTTCTTTATCTTTTTTCTGCTCTTGTTTTAATTTTTCTGTCAAAGCTTCATTAATGTAGCGACTTAATTGCCTTGATCCCGCTTTAACCCTTAATTGTTGGTAAACATCTTCTTGTAAATAAACATTAATGTTTCTTCCTACCATAATTATATATTATAAATATATATTATATTTTATACTATGTAGGTAGAGAGTTTGTTTATATTGTAGTGCTCTGGAACACTACAAATTTTTTTTATTTAGGAGGGATTTCTATTTGAGACTGATATTCAGAACCAAGAGTGATTTTCTTTCCTGAAGTGTTGAATAATTCTTGAGTAAAATTTATTCCTTGACTATTTACTAATTCTACTAAACCTAAACGATGACAGATATGTTCTATTACTTCTTGCCCATCTTTGTCTTCTCAAACTGTTTGTTCAGTCTCTTTTACCAATAAAGCTAATAATTTGCTAGTTCCAAACAATTCTTTGTAAAGAACTATGAGAATATTTCCTGCTTTAGCCTCAACTAAACTTTCTTTAGTTCCTAGCAAACTTACTTGGATAGGTTCTGCTTCGGTATCACGAGGTTTTACTTCTATATCTTTTTGATAAAGACCTCCTTCAATTTCAAAACCACTTTCAAATTTATGGAGCGAGTGAAGATTATTTGGCTGAATTATATAGTGAGGCAATAGTCAAGTAAAGAATAGACCTTGATCAGTTGGAAAGATTAAACTTTCATCTTCATCTAATTTATTAAGTATAGAATTCACCTTACCCACACTGCCCATTACCCTAGTCGAACCAGTTTCATCTATAGCAGGCATTCAACATAATCCCTGCTGAGGATTACTAATTCCTAATCAAGATAAAGGTTCAGCATAACCATTCTCGATAGCTACTTCCATAACTTCTTTTAAAGCTTCATTAAGTTCTTCGAGAAAATAAGTAGGTCATTCAGTTTTTTTTGGATGATTGCAATCTATTGGTTTTTTATGCTCATTAAACCAGTTTGCTTCTTGAATTTTACATTCTTTGCATAAGTTACCTTTATAATTAACCTTTACCTCTTTACCATAAGGTAATAAACCTAAGATAGAATAAATTCCATCTACTGGAATTCCTCTACCTCTATTTTTGATTTCCTTTAAAGCTTGAGTTAGAGTTAATTCTACTTTATCATTTTCTGTGTAACCATCTCGATAATAAACTCAGCCTACTGGGGTTGCTATTTTTTTAGTTCCTCGGTTAAACTCTGATCTATTTAGATATTTACCACCATCTACATAAGAAAGTTGATTTAAAGCTCAGGTTCCCGCCATTGCTCTTCCATCAATTAGTTTGTCATCAAACATAAAGATAGTATGCTTACTTAATCAACCTTCTTGAAAAGTTCAGGAACGAGTAAACCATTGAGAATTAACTATCAATTTTAGAATATCTATCAGATCAACATTACTTAAATCTTTTAACTCCGTATTAATCGAAATTAAAGTGACAGTAGCATTAGAATAGTATTGTCTCATCTTTTTTACTTCTTGAGTTTTTTCATCATCACTAGTTTGGTCAATGCATAATTGATCTAATCAAACATGCTTAATTTCTTTTAATTCTTTACATTTACAAGCATTAATTGCTTTGTATAAAACCTTATTACCTAAGATAGTTAGATCTTTTTTTCATCCTGGGAGATCTTGAATTATCTTGCTAACTTTTTTATTTGGATCACCTCAAACATAAGAAAGAATAGCATAATTTTTGATATTAGGATTATTTTTGGTTAACATTACTTTCTCACTCTCAATATCATAAAGTTTAGTTGGTAGTAAAGAAGTAGAAGCTAATTTTATTTCCCCTCAAGAATTTAAATGTATTTTCTCATAATCTAAATTAGGAACTCCATTATTTTCTCAAATTTTATTTTCAGATTTAATTTCATTAATTAGTTGAGAAGGAATTAATGATGCTAAAGATAAATAATCTTTCTTTTCCATCTTTACCTCTCTTCATTTATTTATATTACCTCCCAAAGATTGGAGTTCTTCATAAATATCTATTACTTGAGCATCGGGTCTATAAGGATCACAAGAAAAATTTTTTACACTCTTGGATAAATATTCTAATCCATGAGTGATATTGGTTCCACTAATATTTAGTGTTTCTAAGTTCTTTAGTTCTTGTAAAGGTGCTAAAGAACCAGCAAAATGATTAGGTTTAGATACTCCTCCTATGTATAATTCTTTTAATTCTTTGAACTTACTAAAAATATTTAAATCTTGCGGAGGAAAATTATTATTTGCTACACCAAGTTCTATTAATTTTTCTTCCTGACAATTATCTAAAAAATCTAAATTAGTGAGATTGTTGCTAGAGCAATATAGTTTCTGTAAATTATTCTGTTTAGGTAAAGTTAATTGGGTTAGGTTATTATCATTACATCCAATACCAGTTAAATTTTTACAATTAGTTAGATCTAAATTAGTAAGTTGGTTTTTTTCACAACTTAAAATAGTTAGATTAGGACAATTAAGAGTTAGATTAGTTAAATTATTCTTTGCACAATATAATCCAGTTAATTTCAAACACTCATTTAGTCCTTTTATTTCTGATAAATTATTATTTTCACATTCAAGTTTCTCTAAATTAGGACAATTATTTATCTCTAATTGTTCATTATCAACAAAATTAGTAATATTTATTTCTTTTAGTTGCGGACAGTTAGTAATTGTTACTTTAGTGATATTTTCAATGTTTTTTGAACCAGTTGCTCTAATAATTTCTAAATTAGGATAATCACTAATTAATAATTCTCCTTTTTCCGAGAGGTGTAAAGCATCACTATTAAATTTTATTTCTTTAACTATTTCTTTATTGGAATAATTCTGATCTAATCATTCTTGAACATTTCATTTAATTTCTTTTCATTCAACTCTTAACTCTTCTAAATTTAAATCTTGGGTTTCTTCATAACCTTTTTTCCTTAAATAAGTAGCAAACTCAAATTCATCTGCTTTTAAGCCTTTATCTATTCATTTTTTAGTTTGTTCAGGAGTAAAACCTCGGTTATATCAATCTCACTGTAATTCACTAGTTAGATTAGAGTTAATTTCATTTCAATTTACCATATGTTTTTAATGTTTTTTAATTGTTTTATCGTTATTATATTTACAATCACTAACCAACTTCTAAGCATTTATAACAAATTAGGTAGTGATTGATTTTAATGACAATAAAGATTATCAGGTATAATTACTAATTTGTTATCTAAATATTCTGACCATAGGCAATTGTTATAACTAAGTTTTATGTACTCTTCAATTCTTTCTCTATCTTCCTAATAATATCTCCTTCGCCTTTTCCATACTCTTGACAAAGTTATTTATTCAACTAATATCTTTTTCTCACTAAGTAAAATGCTTCTCTAATTCAGTAAATAGTTAATAAATTATAAAAGATATTATTCTTTAATTACCATTCCATCTCAACAATGATTGAACGAGACTTTTGTTTTTTACTCATCATTTGTGGGAAAGCTAAATGACAGCCTCAACCTCTTTTTCCTTTTTGCCAAGCATCAAATTCATGGTGCCAAGTCTCACCTTTTTTGGGCATTAAATTACCACATTGAGTTCAACGTTTTGGTTTACCATATTCCTCTCTCCCTAACGGAGAAGAATTAATAAACGGACATTGACTAGGAGATAAAGGGGGATGAACGCTCTGATCCGCAAAAATGAATTTAGTAGTAGTATTAAAAACTCGGCAAGTTTCACATCAAGGTTGAGAAGCTTCCGTTTCGTAATATTCGGTACCACCAATGACATTACATTGACATTGCACCGAGCATTTGGCAAGAACAAAAGAAGAATAAAGTCCATTTAAATGCAATTGTGCTTTAATTCCCTCACTTCTTAACTGCTCTTGGGCTCTTTGCAAATAGTCGATTCACTTTTCACTAGCGATTTGTTGACCTTTGGCTCATAATTCTTTACTTAAATACTGTTTATTTACTTGATCCAACTGATAATTTTCTGATATTTCGTAGCGGTAAGGTCGATAATCAGGATGGAATCAAGGCAATAAACTTCTTCTGAATTCTGGGTCTTGATATCGTTGTGCTCCAACCGCTCAAAATTTTTCTTGTGGATCTAAATTATATGTGCGAGTAATTGTTAACGCTAATTCTTCATCTCCGGCTTGTTTTCATCAAGTTTCTCGAATTCCCTCGTGGAGAATTTGTTTTTGAGTCATATGTCAGCGACTTTCTCCTCAAGGCAACAAAGGAATATCTAACTTTTTATATCCCCTTTGTTTAACTCTTCATAATAATTCATAATTTTGCTTCTCTTTTTCTCAATCAATACTAGTAAACTTTCTGATCTCTTTTTCACTAGTTGGTAAACGACCAAATAATTGATAAAAATTAACTTTATATTGATATTCTTTTAACCTATCTTCAATTAAAGGTTGGTGATCAACGGAAATCTTGCGTAAACGAGGAATACCACCATAAATAGAACTTAAATGAGCGGTTTTGCTTTCCTTATGACTTAATCAAGGTTGCTTAAAAACTTCAGCAGGAACTTTATCGCGGTACTTAAAAGCAAATTTTTCTGCTTCAATATAACGAGCAGATTGGTAATCGGGTTGAATCCGAGAACGAGTTAACTCAGCTTGAGCTAATGAAATCGGACTTGCCTGAAATTTCTTATTTCAATACTGTTCTTTGGCTAATTTTCCTTTATAATTTCCTAATTTATCAGTAAAATTTTTGCTTTCAAGCAGTTTGATCTGATAAGCATTTTCATCGATCACTCCGCGAACTTTCCGAATTCTGGCTCGTTGTTTTCTTAATGATCAACGGGTTTTTTCTTGATAATCTTTGATCCTTTCTTTCCGGATTTGACTTATTTCTCGCAAAGCGAGATTAGTCCGCTTATTAATCTCTTGGGAATCCAAAAAGGAAACTTTGCGAGATTGGGAATTTTCTCAACTAATTCGTTCTTGGGGAAATTTTTCCCGCAAGAAGAGAAATTTTTCCTCTTGTCTAACTTGTTTTCGTAATTGCGAATAGAGAGGAGCCGAACTAATTATTTTTGTCGATCTTTTCTTCGCTAATAATTTTTCTCTACCCCTTAATAAAGCAAGTGCTCAATTTTGCTCTTTTTGTCAATAAACTTTTTTCCACCTTTGGAGTGAACGTGGATTTTTGGCTTGCCGAGCCAAAGAAATTAAGTTTTCTAATTGCGAAAAGGTTATTTTTTTACCTTGGCGAACTTGTTGAGTTTGCTGAATTAATTGCTGACGAGCGAGAAATAGCCTTTTTTTTTGGCGATTTGTTAAATTTCTTTTTCCTCCTCGCTTTTTCATCATAACATTCTACAATTCCTTTCAATAGCGTTTAGTTTCTAAGCGACCATCTTCCTTGTAATACTGCTTTTCAACTAAAACTGATTTTTCCCGCCGTTCAATAATTTTGAAACCATGAGCAAGGATCTTCCCATCTAACTCTAAGCGGTTAGCGTCATAAAAATTGGCCTGTTTAACTTCTTGTAATTTTCATTCTCCTAACTTATTGCTAATCGAAGTAAGTTGTGGAATTGATTTGAGAATTAGACAGTCAACTCGCACGGATAAAATATCAGACTTGTCGTATTTTTTTAACTCTTCTAGGACCTGGCGAAGAGCGTGAGCATGAATGGCTACCATCAAGTGGTTAAAGTTACTTCCGCCGCGTCTTTCTTTGCGTTTAGAAGTTAATTTACCTTTTTCCCACTCATAAGCAGAGTAATAATTATGTTCGCCAAATTTACCCACAATTAGATTAGGCACTGCTTTGCCGATAATATTTTTTCAACTGCCTTTACGGTTTTCAGTTTTTAAAGAATAATAAAAATTACTAAACTCTTTTAAGATTCCAGTTTGGTGTTCAAAAATAAAAAACCTTAGATAACGAGTATTAAGCGAATAGTCATTTAAAAAATACGGGAATAAAGTAGTATGGATTATATAGGTTCCAGCGGGAATAACCGCTGGTCATAACTTTTTTTCTTGTCGTTGAATAGGAAACCACGGATAGTGTTTGCCAATATAAGCGTTGTTGTCTCCAATTAAGCGAAAATATAAAAATCCCTGTTCTTTACTTTCTAAGGCTTTTTTGATTTGGCGATGATCTTTAATTTCTTCACAACTTCCAACTGGTAAAGGCGAATAACCGAGGTGATAATTATAGCAAGAATTAATATCTATTTTGTAAATATCCTTAAACTCACCAGTTTGAAAGGTCTGTTCCCACGGTCCCAAAGTTCCACCATGGTGAGTTTGGAAAAGATTTAGTAAGTTAGTATCTCTAATACTAATAAAATTCTTCTTAAAATTTTGTCAAGTTTCAGAGTGTTTTGTCAAGCAGTTTCAAGAATAAGAAGCTAGGCTATAATGACGATGAACTACTTGGTGGTTATTTGTTAAAAATTCTTTGAAACTCGCCTTGGTAAATTGGGTTCAAACCGCGACTAATTCTACATTATTTCTTTTTCACCGATAATAACGACCAAAAGCATCACGAAAGACTTTTCATTTTTCTTTTTCTTGATTAGAAAAAGCGGTAAATAATAGGTCTAATTGGTCTTGCGTTGTATAAATTAGGTGATATTCATTTTTCCCTAAATATTTGCTTATTATTTCCTGATTTAAAGTATTAAGGCAATGAATAATTATTGGGATTAATCCTTGATCGAGACTGTTATTTTGTTCTTTCTTCATGGAGATTTTTATCTAAAAACTAATTACTAGGTAATTACTAGGTAATTATATAATTAGTTTTTATGATCTACCCCTCTCTGCCATAAAATATATATAAAACTTAATTAAGCAATCACTATCACTCTTTCTTCATGGCGAGAGTGATTGCCCCTAATAAATAAAAATTAGGTTTTTCCAACTACTTTTCTAATGGGTGTGGATTGGTAGTCGAAAGATCCTTAATTTTTTACTTATATTTGGTTAGGTAAAATTACTTTTCATTTCCTATTTTGGGTTGCTACCCTAATTAATATTTCTTGCTTTTTTACATGATTTTTTTTAATTTTTCTTAATCGTATTGTCGTGAACATAACCACGGAATATATTTCTCTTACGATGATCAACTACGTTTCCTCAATATTCTTCTTTATGATTATAGTAAATATCTAGTAAGCATGGATCACAAATTCTTTTATCTTTGTCTTCTTTATTTCCCGTTCAATATTCTCAGTTGTTTTTTTGGCTGTAATTTCAAGTACTCATCACAAATTTGACAAAGAAAACTTTTTGACAACGATAACAATTTACTTTTAAAGGTTCGGGCTTGTTAATTTTTTTACTGTTTGGCATTATTTGTACTTCTACTTAATAATTATTAATTTTATAGTGTAAGTTTATATAAGTGCTTGTTGGTATGAATTAAAAATTTGTATAAAATATATTAATGAATAAAAGCTTGCCATGAAAGAAATAATTATTATCAAAACTAGCGAAAGCGAGAAAATAAAAAGTCTGCTTGATAAAAATAAAACTGACTATGAAATCGTTTACAAGGACACCATTAATTTAACCGAGGAGGAAATTTGACGTCGAGATATCTTGCTTGCTAACCAGGATCAAAAAAGAAATAAGGAAATAGATGAATGAAAAAAAATTAGTAAAGTTAAAGATACACAAGGTTGGTAATGGTGGAGAAGTTATATAGGTACGGAGAACTTTATTGAGTAAAATTTGATGAGGAAACTGTCGGTACTGAAATTAGAGGATCTCGACCGGGTTTAGTAATTTCCGACAATTCTTATAACGAAATTAGTAAAAGAGTCATTATTTTACCTTGCTCACGAACTTTGGATCCACTTTATTCTTTTGAACTATTTTTACCAAATTTGGTTAAAGAGATAAATGGAAAAATAATGATTGACCAAATTCAGTGCATTGATAAAGAAAGAATTGGTAATAAAATTAGAAATTTAACCATTGAGGAAATGAATAAAATAGTTGAAAAGTTAAGGAAAATTTTACCTTTACAGGAATTATTAAAGGCCAAATTATAATTTTTATGAATAAAGAATTAGAAAATCCAACTGAGAAAAGATTGACAGAAATTCAAAAACAATTAAAAGTAAGATTCGTAGTAAAGGATGCTTTACACTGTCGTAGATGTGATAAGTTAATTTACCTTGGAGAATTGAAAAGAGATAATTTGGATGAAATAGAAAACTTAATAAAAGAGCATTTAAAAGTTCATGAATAAGAATAAAATTAGTATCCTTTCTTACCAATCTAAGAACAGTATATTATTTTAAAAATAATATAAACTTATTTATTGATTTCTTGATATTGATTAAAGGAAGTTCAATAATCTTGATTAGCTTTGATTAAATTTTGAAGATTTTCATTTACCTCTATTGACTTTCCTTTGGTTTTTTCTAATTTAATAAACTCTTCTTTGAGAGAAATTATCTCTTTTTTTATTTCATCTGACTTATTAACATCTTTTTCAACTAAGGTTACTAACTTATTAATCGAATTATTTGCTTGAATAAAGTTATTATTAATTTGTGTTAACTTTGTTTCAAGAGAAGAAATTTTGCCAATTAACTCATTAATTTTGGTTTCATTTTTGGCTTCGTTGTTATTCTTGATTGAAACAGAACCCAACCTCTTAATTTCCAACTCCTGAAAATAGGGACCGCAATAGCCACAATAATTCCTCGTTTGTTCTCCTCTTCCATAGTAATTATTATTTCGATACTCTTGGTCAAGAAACCTTAAATGTTCTTGAATTTTATTACTGTAAGTTATAACTATTCAATTGTGTTGATATCCTCCCAAACTACTAACTTTACAATTAAAACAATCTACCATAATCTTATATTCTATATTTTAAGTATGCTGATTTTTCATATCGACAATAAATTTTCCTTTTCGCTGGTGCAGGAAATATTTTTACTATTTATTAAAAGAGTAATTAATTATACATCTTTACAAAGTTTTCTTCTTTCAATTTCTGCTGAGAGTTTCTTTTGAAAGTATTAACTACATAACTGCATAATTATTTTTTCTTCTTTTTAGTCAAAAAAATAAAATAATTAGTCCTAAAAATAAACTTCCGCCAATAATCACTGGAATTACCGGAAAATCATTGCCATTAGTTTTATGATTAGGATTATTAGGAATTTCTTTTTCTTGGCTTTTTCAATAATTTAAAATCTCTTCTAATTTGTCTTTTTGTTCTTTGTTCCTACTATCACGTGCAATTTGATCTTGAAAAAATTTATGCTCTTTGGGTTCATTTAGCGAATATTTTTTTCCACGATGTTCGCGTGCTTCTCTGGCTGATTTTATTCCTTGAACTAAATTATTAGCACTTATTAAAAATTGTTTCTCATCTAAATTTAATTGGAGAGGCGAATTATAAATTTCAGTATTTTCCACTTTTCCTTCTTTAATTAGATGGAAAAGTTTTTCTAATTCAATTTCTCTTGTTCTTTGCCTCGTTAAATATTCTTCATATTCTTGATTATTTTTGGCTAACAAATCTCGAAGTTCTTCTGCTTGTTGTTTAGTAATTTCTTGAAAACTTTCAGCGAAGTTAATCAAAGGACTGACTAATCCAGCTGTTTCCTCCCCAATCCTTACTTTTTCAACTTTTTCCAATAACTCTTGATATTTGCCCATTTTTTTAATTTCCTCTATTTAAGTATGCGATAAGCACGATAACGACGATAACTAAGATTAGAAATGCTATAAGTTCCGATCCTCAGTTGTCCTTTTTTTGTAATTTTAGTTTACAACGATAAAATTTTT